TACTTGTGGTAACCCTTTGCCTAGGGTTATTAGTCTCATCGAAAAACCTTAGTGTTAAAAGCTCCTCCAACACACCAAGGTCCATTCCATAATCCTCTAATGTCTCCCAACTCTTCCCACATTTTCTCTCTCCCTATAATCATTAGGACCATAAACATTGGTTAACACCCATTAAAAACCCCCTTCCACCTGCCTAAATTTCAATGAGACTGAATAGTTACCCACCAACTCCTCAATCCCCTCCAGAGCATCTTCTTTCCACAATGTCACTATTCTTCCAGAAGCTCCCCAAGAAGGAATAGCTGCCCACTTTATACCTCTAGATCTCCAAACACTTCTTGCCCATCTTCTGTCAAATTCCATCCGTTTGGACTCCTAAATTAGAACCACATCTGGATCAGCCTTTCTTATTGCTTCTTTAATTACTGCTCTTTTTCTTGCACTGCCCATACCCCTAACATTCCAGCTCAACAATTTCATTTTAATCTCTCTCTCTCTCTGACCCCCTCCTATTACTTTGTATCTACTTAGCCCCTTTTCTCCTTTCCCCTTTCATAAGGAAACTCCTATCTCCCTCTACATTTCTCTTCAATCTCTCAACTTCACTTAGCTTCCTTTTCTTTCTCTTATTTTCCTCCTTCCTTTTTTGTAGGAAGGCTTTTAGATCATTCAGATTCTTCAACTTGCATCCCAGTCTCCCCACAAATTCTGCTACCGAGTCATCTGCTACCGAGTCAACTTGCACCCCTAGTGCACCCTCTACTTGTAGTTGTATTCTTTCAACCTCTCCCATTAACTTTTCAATGATTTCGCACACTCTTTTATTTCTTTCCCTTTCCCCCTCTACTTCCCCCTGCCTCCCCCTGTAGGTTTCGAGCACAAGCAATTATAGCGGTTGCAATGTCATGGGCCTTCGACTCCTAGATGGGTAGGGAATCTAGGACAAAAGACACTGAACACTCATCAGTAACAAAACTGGAAATGACAAGGTTACTTGGGTATTGTTGCGGGGTAGGAGAAGAGGAAGGAAGAACACTTGATTTGACTTTCCCTGTTTTGAGGTATGAATGCAATCTAGCTCCTAGGGTTGGTGGGAAATCAATTCTGTCACAATTGCAACATTAGGATTTCTTTCCAGACCCAACTGTTTAACCCTCTGTGGTGTGTTCCCGGTCTGCTTCTGAGGAGACTAATTTACCTCCCTATCAATGTAAGGCACTGAGTGGGTACTTGGTTGGGCTTTGTTTGTTCTTGGGTGTTGGCTTTCCTCTCTTACTCACTGATGAAGCACATCTCCTTCGGTCTTATTTGCTCTATTTTCAAGTGTCGGCCTGACTAAATGTTTTTCCTTCTCATCATTTCGAAATAGAACCTCCAGGTCTAAGGTAGCTTCATTGTCCCCCATAACGGAGCATGCGTCATCATCGCTTTCGATGCTAGTAGCTTCATCTAAGCTTTCCCCGTCGCTCTCTTCCTCCATTGAACAGTCAACCCATCCTTCATCTTCTTCCTCCCTATCCTCCAGTCAACCCCTCACATACCGTGGGTTTGGACGGTCTAGAGACTGTCGATTCTCATCTTTCTCCCTGAAATCTCTTCGACTGACCCATTGTAGCGAGCTTCTTTGGCTTTCTCTTACTAAAGTTCGCCATCGCAACCCTGAACCATCGAGTTGGCTCGTAGAAGATGATAGAATTTTCCGTTTGCAATCACTCCTCTAGGGATCCACCCCACGTGATCGCTTAATTTATCACATGGGACGGTCTGTTTCAAATCCGATCCACCCAAACTTTGAACTCCCTCCCCTGTTGGTTCGGACACAGCTGCTTGGCACGTTTTAATTGGGCTCTCTTTCCCTAACCACCTCAGCATAAGAGGCCTGGCCCATGCAACGATTTAATTCAAAATATTTTGAATTAATTACCATAACGGGACTACTTGTCGTTCGGTTTTTGGCCTGCAACTGTCCCAATTCCTTCTTAATGCTGATCTGCACGCCTTCCTTCTCTTCCAATTCCGCCGCACCACATGTATTCCAACATGCGACTTCACCACTGTCTTCAACCTCTAGAGGTCTTCCCCAAAGTGACGCTTCAGCTCCTGAAGCCAGCCAAACTCTGTACCAGGTATCCTCCACCGAGACTTCAATCAACCGAGGCACATTTTTTCGGCTTTACTCCGGCCACTCAAAGTTCCACTGCCTTCAAGCTTCTCGTATTGATCTCCAATAAAACTCCGAACATCTTCACTATACTTCCAAAGATTGCTTCCTTACATAGATGAAACGGTAATCCTAATAGTTTTATCACAAAACTTCCATCGGAAAGCTCTACTTCATTGCAAATCGGGGACCAATTTTGTATCTGTATTAAGTTTCCACTCACTAACACCGGGTCAAAGCTTAGCTTCTTGTCACCAATATCGAGTAAAGCCTTCCTCTCAGAAAATGGAAGTAGTATCTCATCAACTTCAGTCTCCAATTTTTGTGATACTGCCTCCAACACTTCCGTCCAGTTGTTCACCTTTTCTGCTGTAATAATCATCTTCTTTGCCCAATCTCCTCTTTCTGCTACAGTCAGCAGTCTCTGGTATCCTGTTAGGCTAGCTACCACGACCCCAGTACCATGTATGCACTGCTTTTCACTAAGTTCTTGGGGTCTAACCTCTTCCTGAGTTACCCTATCTTCGTTGAGCTTCTCATTTCTTTGTTCTTGTTGCACTTTAACCTTCCTTTCATAGCTCGTAACGAAGGACTGTAACTTACTAGCAAAAGATGTCCATCCCTGCACTTTTTTCCCTTCTGGCACACATCATTTGTTTCTTATCATTACCGAAATGTTCTATGGCAGTGATAAACCATCCCTTGGTGTTCCTTCTTAGTTCCACTTCGAACTTTTTCCCCTGACTCAATATCGAATTCTTCCAACCTTCCTTTCTAGCAGAGTTCACCACTCCATCCACAAATCCTTTCAACCAAGAAACTACCTCCTCCGGTAGTAGCAGTGTCACCCTACTGTTTTCTCTAATCTTCAAGACTGCATCTCCTTTTGACCAACCCTGTTCGAATAGAAAAGTCTTTGCCTCTATCACCATCTCCGAGCGCAACTTGCCGGGCATTATAAAGACTGTTACTTCCTTCTTCTCGTCCTACTTCCATTATGCACTCTGGGCCAACTTAATCAATACATTTACTCCAACTCTTCAATTTGATCATACACCTCTTGTTTACTCTCTCCTAGTCTCCCAAAATGTAATTCATTCCATTCTTTGATTTTTATTTTCAGCCCTTGTAATTTCCTATGAAATCCCATTCCTTCACAATTTTCACTAGGTCTTTCCTCTACCCACCACTCTTTTACTTTTTGAAGAAAACCCGGATGGCCTAACCACATGTTTTCATATATGAATGGACTATGGAGTAGGACATCATCCTCTCAAATCTTCCTTGTATTGTATAGTTGAATCGGCCAATGGTCTGATGTTACTCTAGGTAATGCCTTTGAAACTAAACCACCCCAATGCTCCTCCCAATCCCTAGAGAATAAGAATTTATTTAATCTTGAGCAAATAGGATTAAGTTCGAGGTTTGACCAAGTGAAACTATGATGGGCAAGGAGCAAGTCCTTGAGTCCAAAAGAATTCACAAATGGATTAAACTTCCTCATACTAGTCGTGATCCTTTGCCTTGGATTATTTGTCTCCTCAAGAATCTAACAACATTGAAGTCACCCCCAATACACCATGGTCCTTCCCATAAGCCTCTAGTAGCACCAAGTTCTTCCCAATCCCATTCCTTTCTTTGTAACTATTCAATCCATATACATTGGTTAGAACCCATTCAGACCCATCCTCAATCTGTTTAAACTTGATAGAGACAGAAAAATTACCAATCAATTCTTCTACCCCTTCTAACACTTCATTCCTCCAGAGTGTAATGATGCCACCTGAGGCCCCCAAGAAGGGGTCACCACCCAACTTATGCCCCTTGTCCTCCACAGACTTCTTACCATCTCCTATCAAAATCAGTCAGCTTAGATTCCTACAGCAAAACCAAATCAGGCTTTTCTTTCCTAATAACCTCCTTTATCACAGCTCTTTTCCTTGCACTCCCAAACCACGTGCATTCCAACTTATAATCCTCATTTTAAAGTTCTATTACCTCCCCTTAATGCTAACCCCTTTTATTGTGCTTCCTCTTCTTTTTTTTACCCCTCTTCTTCTTTCCCCTCTTAGTCTTTCAGCCTCACTCAATTTCCTCTTCCATATCTTCTCCCCTTCTTCGTTTTCACTAATGTTGGCTTTCAGCTCATTGGGATCCTTGAGCTTACAGCCCAACTTTCCAATAAAGCCAGCAACTGAATCTTCAGCTTCTTCGAATTCTTTCTCTCCAGCCCTCTTTCCGTTAAGGTTCTACTACAGTTGCCAACTAAGGTATGTGTGCAACTGCCAACTGCCAACTGCCAACTTAGCTTTTGCTTTGGGTAAATGTAGGACTCCTTGGAAGCATTTGGTCACATGACCAATTTCTCTACTTTATTTTGCTCTTAACAGTTATCTTCAGGGAGGGATAAGGTTTCCATGACAATAGGTCACTTGCTCCTAGTTTTGGAAAGGGTTATGTTATGGTTACAAAAGAGCAATGTTAACCTTCAGTTCTTCATACTCCTAGATTAAGTAGAAATCTTCTTTCTATTAGTAGTCATACATAGAATTTGAGTTGTTCCATGACGTCAGCTTCTCTAAGTAGAAATCTTCTGAGGCTTATTTGTTATTTCTTTGTTGTTTCCACCTAATCAGAAGCATTATTGTAATTTTCTTCTTTTTTTATATCAGTTAATATAAGAGATAGTTTGTTGCATCATAGAGGCCACAATTTGGAGTGTTTTCTCTTCCACTTTCTCCTTTTTCCTTCCATTCTCCTGCTTCTGCTCATCTTAATTTTTCATCAACTAAACTCAGATTTTATTGGTTTGCAAAAACTAGTGCATAGACATACCCACCTGATAGCTTCTGGGTCGTCTTTCAAACCCCGTAAACACTCAGCTTCAGTAGTTGCACTGCCAAAGTTGGATGAGCTATGAGTCTCAGAGCATTCTCCCATCTCCTGAGGTTGTGCCACAGAATATTCTGTGGATGAACTTTTAAGTCTTTCAGGTAGCACAGTTTGGACTTCTTCTTCAGTTATTTCCTCAATTACTACTCCTGCAATTCAATGCAGAAAAATTCTTCAAAATGTGAATTAAGGAAATATGTTCAGATGACAAGCATTCATTAATATGATTAAGAAACATATAATATAAACGTACCTTTTGACAAGTGTTGCTCTTTACCTTCTTTTTTCAATCTTTCATTTGCATCCCTGTTACAAAATGACAACATCTATGACCATGTGGTACATGGAAACAGAATTCAGATAACCTTAACCCAGACTGACAGTGACACATACAGCACATGCATAACAACACAGTAGAAATATCACTCAAGATACATCCACCCAAATACCCAAGGATTACGGATTACCATTAATATAAATCCATACCTTAGAACATTCGAAATAGTTTCATCATCAGGCGAAACTCTGTGTGCCTTACTCAAGTCATTGACAGCATCCTAATAAGTTTCATAAATGTCATCAGATAATACGAATAGATTAAAACATAAAGAGCAAAATTTTTCATAGATGCAACCAATTCTATTGAGCTAATGACATCATTAACTTTAAGTAACCATATAGGGGTTTCCAGCTCAATCTCAAGCAAGGAAGATCCAAGAAAAATGTAGACTCACTTCTAATAATCCCAGTTCTTTATATGCTTGACCTCTTCGATAAAGAGCTTTGACATTCTCAGCATCATATGCCAATACCTGGAATTGCATACAAGTAACTTAGTTGTAAGAGATATATGAAAGCATAAATGGAGGATGTTAATGGAGAAGGTACACTCCCATTTTGAAGTAGATTGCTCATCTAAGGGACCATTTGATAACAGCCAAAGTTGCTGAATTAAATTGGCTCTTTTAATGAACAAGTTGTTAAGGAGGTTGTGAGCTCCTTAATGGCTGAAACTGAAATTAGGTTGATCACTTTATACTTGTATATTTTATTATTTAATTATTTTACCACTAAATAAGCTGTTAAATTAGTTCAGCCATTTCAACCATTATCAAATAGCCCCTAAAACATATATAGACTGAAAGGAAATAAGAAAACAACTTCCAGCTTGCTTATCTTCTCCCCAAATTAATGGTCTATCCACCACCATAATTACTCATCTTAGATTATGATTTTCATGGTTGGGTGCCATTTCTGCATTAAATGAGTTGTAAGTATTGCACTAATCATACAACAATACATAATGAAGAAAGAAGAAACAGTAGTTTAGTCATACCTCAGAGCCTTCTTTTATGCACTCATCATATTGCCCTGTCTTGAGGTAACAAGACATCAAATTAAGAGAACATGCTAACTGGAGTGTTCTGCCTTTGGAGACTGGTATGTCCTTCAGGTTTTTCTTTGCCTAAAAATGCAAAAAAAAAAAAATGTGATTTCATTATTCCAAAGATTATTAAAAATAAAAATGGAATCTTCAACAAATAGAAGAACTAGCATTTTGAAACTTTGATAAAGGAAAAAGAGGAACTGTAATTCCACATACAAGCAAATACTTTTGTGCAGCATCCAGGAACCGGCTCTGACTGTGGAGTTCATTCCCCTGTCAAAGTAGAAATTGATCCATAAGTCAATGCCTACACTTTACTCATAACAGCAAAGAAGACAGTAAAATTGTTAAATACATATGGGGGCAATAGAAAATAGGTACGATTTTGTTTTTCAAAAAAAAAACTGCTGCCACATCAGCAAAATCATATTGACTTTGCTGATTTGGCAGTTGTTTTTGTTTTTTAAAAACAAATCATAAAAAATTGGCAAGCACAACTATATGTATACACTATTAACCTTAAGAACATAATAAATAATTTACTGGAGCATTGGTTGCATATGGATTAAAATTGCTGGATGCAATGCTAATGATTAATATTGGATTGATTAAGATGCAGTGCAACTTTGCTAGGTCCTCAACAAAGTTTGTAGAAGATTTGATTCACAAAATATTTGATTTTATTCGCAGAATATTTGATTTGGTTTGGAGAGATTTTTATTTTATTCTGAGAATATTGAGAATGTAGAAAGAAATTTGAGAAATTATCAAGAAATATGGCACAATGAGATCTTGACAAGTGGCATCACCCTTTCTACACAAAATTGCCACGTGCCATGGTGTGGCACGCCTCACTTGTGGCTGCTGCATGGCTTCATAGGGTGGGCCCTGGAACTCTTCTTTTGGGCTTTCTGGGCTTGAGCAGTTGAGCTTAATGGGCTTCTATATACAAGTTGGCTACTGGTTCATGGGCTTCCATCTGTATATTTGGGTTATCAAAAACTTCCAAGGATGACAAATTAATCACTGAGGCACTTTTTCTCTAATAACTTCTTCCTCAAAGTGCTCTCTATCCACTGAAACACCTCATAAAAAGTACCAAAAAGGGGCAGTGACACTTGGAACATCCTAGAAGTCTCTCTACACCATCCGAGTACTATTCAAAATGCCACACACATGTTTCAGCCCAAATCTCCAATCAACAATGATCTAGAATCCCAAAAAAGGGAGCATACAAGCTAGGCACCAAATATAGTAAAGAGAAATCTTCACAAAATTCTCAATATGGTCCAAATCAAACTAGAGCACTTTCTATAGCTCAAGGAAAGTTGGGCGATCTGGAATGAAGCAACAAACCTTGCCCAAAAAAAAAACTATCCGGATCATATGCAACTAAACTTTTAAAGACACCAAAAAATCCTAAATGACATCCAAACCAGCATGATTCTTAAACCAACTATATGGATCACTATGCAAGCATATCTCATATCTACAACTTTTTCATTTTATTTTTCAATTTCACCTTTTAAAGTCATACTTCACTATGCAAGCATATCTCAGATCTATAACTTTTTCATTTTGTTTTTCAATTTCACCTTTTAAAGTCACCAAAAATCTTAAATGACATCAAACAAGCATGATTCTCACACTAAAATAATCCTACATTGACCCTCTATCAGAAACTAGGTTTTTTTTCCTTTCAGGAGTCACCACCATCTGTATGGTCTGCTGGCATTACCTGGTGACAGTGATGCCATCAGCCATTTCAAGGGGAGTGTGTAATTAGTAATCCAGTCTCCAGTAGAAGGTTGTTACCAACTTGAGATTTCCGTGCAAGTAGAAAGAACAATAAAAAATGAGAAGAAATATGACAAGAGAATAATAGGAAACAAGTTTGAGAGCAATCATCAATTGTGGGCTAGGAGCCCTTTCACTAATACTTATTCCATAGTTACAATGATACCAATGCCCTTACTTAAACAAATGTATGACTATCTCTACACCTTTAATGGTGTTGGCATGCAGCACATTGCATATCATTTTGAATGGCATGTCTGATATGATGTCTTTTTGTCAGAAAGTATCAGAAATTTTATTAAGAAAATCAAAGAATAGAATACAGAATAATGGAGAAAGAGAGTTTAAGCCTTCCCACATGATAGAAATACGACATAATTATGTTTGTAGCTGGATTGACCATGCAGAGAGTCAGAGACCTACACCTCTGATAACAAGGCAAGAGGCACAAAGGTGTACACATCTCAAAAACTGAGGCATACATTTCTTGGATCAACTCTCACATTATACCCTTGAGGTGAAATTGACCACTCTTGCCTTGAGCCAAAGGCCTCTCGCCTTGCCTGTTCTGCCTTCAAAAATCATGCTTTAAAAATCCCATTTCTATTCTATAAGGTTTTTAGGTAATGGATTTTATTGGTAGTTTGTCCATGACTTCCTATACAGTCAAATATGCACAAATTGCACAATCCATATCTTGTTGGAAAACTAATCTGACAAGACATCTAAAAGTGTCAAAAGCAAGACCTTTCAGGACATCATGGTATAAGTAAAGAAACAATAGTCATGACCCATGAATCCAAAATTCAGACAATACCTGTTTCTTCAGCACCTGAGCTGCATTCAGTTCATATGTGATTTGAGCATCTGCACGGGCTCGAATGGCCGCAATCTCCTCAGGTGTGGCATTAGCCATCTTAGAACCAATCTCAAGCATATCCTCTGTACGAGCATACTTTAGCTGTTCTGCAGCATTTTTCAAGTCCTCAGGCTTCATATTTTTCATGCTTTCAGTGGCCATTTTAATCAACTCAGGATTGGACATCATCTGCCAAGATGTAATGATAAGCTTAATACAATGTTAAAGATAAGCTTAATACAAAAGAACTTGTCCCTTACATGTAAATATGAAATAGTGGTCACGGTCTATCTTCCAGACTTGGATGCCAAATGAAAGAGAATAGCATATAATACATGGATATCATAAAGCACATCACTCAAAATTAAGAGCTCTCACTAACCAGAGTATGGAGCCATGACCCTGTTGTTAGATGCTATCGATCCATCATTTGGATAGTGGATCACAGACTAACCACCAAGTTTAACCAAAACCTCGGCAATACAAAAAATATTTTCCATTCTTGTGATCACAAGTTCTTAGTTCCACAATTATAATGTTACAATTTAGATTATGAATTGGTCGGTTGCCTATTCAACCCATAAACCTCGGTCTAAAGATCTACTAAGGGAAGAAAGAGTAAAGTTGTCTCAGGATTCCAGCTTAACAACTATAGTTCTTTCGTAACTTAAAATAATATTATTTTACAACTAGGTAACTAAAAAAGGATAGTAATTAAGAATTCATTAGAACATCCCTACTCCGGAAGGAGGGATGTTCTGGTCCTTTTGAATTCTGACTTCAACGCTTCAACATGAAGCGATTCGGAATTGAACAAAAAAAAAGGGAAAAAACAAACGTATTTCTTCACAATTCATTCAAACCTTAAAACGCGAAACGGAAGTAGGTCTCGAGTGTTATCAATTGAAATCCATAAATCAACAAGTACCTGGATTTTGATTTCCAACAAGCGGCAGCCAACCAGAACTTAAGGAAAAGAAAACGATCTTAAAGAATAAAACATAACTCAGGATTCAAACATTAAATTGAACTTCAGAAACGGACGAAAAGAAGGTCACCTGCTGTTGGATCTTCGCCAATTCACTAGGCGAGATTCTACTCATTTGTTCTTGAGCCATCCTAATCAATTCAGGGTCCATCATAGCGTTGTACATTTCCAGGTTCTAAATTAATACGAATTTGAACAATCTAGATCGATTAACCGAAAAATAAAAATACGGATCGGATTTCCTCCCAAAAGAATATGAACGGGGAAAGAGAGAGAAGGTTATTGGCGAATCAAACGCAGACCCAGTGGAGGAAATTGAAGAAACTGAAAAGGGTTTCTCGCTGATTTCAACAGTGACGGGCTACGGCGAAATCGGAAGAACTCTTGAATCAACGCCCACCAAAACAGAAAGAAGAAAGGAGACGGACCCTTCCTCGAATTTACTCAATTTTTTTTTTTTTTTTTTTTGGGCGGGGGGATTGTTTTAACTTGGAAGAGGTGAATTTGGGAAAGTAACCAACAGTTTCAATGTCTCATGCGGATCTCACCAACCACCACGGTTCGATCGTCCGGTTCAAATGGATAATCCGTTCAGACAATAAAATTTAAAAAATAATTAAAAATAAAAAGCAGTCAAAACCGTTGAGCGGATCGACGGTTCAATTGCTGGGGTCAATGGGTCATTGATCGATTCAACAGTTTTTGGTCAGAGATATGGATCTTATCCCGTCATCAATATCCACGTCCAAATGAGAGAAAAAAGTTTTATTCCTGGTTCTTATCCAAGGGCTCCTCGCGTATGTAAACGAATCAAATTCGAACAGAATTAGGTAATATTTGAATTTGATTCAATAGATATTGAAAATTAATATTCAAATTTGAATTTGATTAAATATTTAGATATTTGATTTGATTTGAATTTGACTAAATAATTATTTTAGGTAATTAATAAATATTTTATTTATATAGCATATATAATTTAATTATTATATATAAATTATATAAAATATTTTATATATAAGAATTAAATAATTGGTCGAATTTAAATATTTATCGAATTGAACCAAGTCATACCCAAATTCGAATCTGATTACTTATTCGATATGAAAAGGATATCCAAATTTGACCAATTAGATATTCAAATTATCTAAATTTTATTTGATTATGTCAAATCTTGCATTCAAAATTGGATTTTTGAATACTATTGACACCCTACTCGCACGAAAACTAATACCAGGCCAAACTGGTTTGAAGAAAAAGGAAGGGAAATAGTGGGAGTCATGGCAATCTTCTATTCATATGTCTAGAAAATTTTGTTTGGCCAGTTCCCCCAAGTTGGTTGGACCTTGAGCTTGTATGTCTATTTTGGCTTAATATAATTTCATTTTCATTTCCGATGCAATTTATTTAGGCTATGTTTTAAAGAGTGGAAAAAGTAGGGAAAGGAAATAGGCTTTGGGGGTAGTTTTACTTTAGGTTATGTTTGGTTTGAAGGGAAAAGTAGGGAAAGGAAGGGACGAAAGATATGAAAATATATACAAGGTTTGTAAAGGTTTCCCTAACTTTCCTTTCCTTTCCTTTTCCTATGTTTTCTTTAAAACCAAACACAACCTTAGTACCCACTCTTTAAAGCTATCACTTTAGTCCGGTAGACATCACAATATGTAGTAAATTTACCAAAACACCCTTCATTGTCATAAACCATCAAATACATTTAGAGAACTAGAAAATTGGTCTCTTCCATATATTGGCAAATGAGGAGCATAGAGCAACCTTGTACTTGACAAGTCATTGATAACTTGGTCTCTTCTATATGCCACCTGTGTCAAGGGAGCTCCCTCCATTTGTCTAATATTATTAAGTATTGGGTCAAAGGAATTCTTGATTGTGACCGTAAGGGATGACTTCGAGATGGCATTGGGGCATCTTTGAGAAGAGGTGGACTAGGTTTGGGACTCCATTCACCAATGTTCTAATTTGATCTTGTGGAGAAGATGATGAGCAGTGTTTTAATTTGAAGGGTGATTTTAGAATTTTACAAGTTTCAAGTCGAATATGATATCACGTGTATCCAATAAATAATGAAATACTAATAGCAAAACCTAACGCGACAGTTTGGAATTCTATTCTATGGTGGCCCATTTTTTCTAAGTTAGGGTAAAGTTAAAGTGAGATTAGCCCCAAAGTATGAGGTACAATCTACAATTGAACCTTTTGTTTATCCTTGATGGTTTGTTGGTAACTGTGGATTTTCTTGAAATCTATTTGGTTGGGTTTATTTTGAAGGGAAAAAAGTATTTAAAGGTAGATTCTTTCAAACTAAATACTTCTTTAAGCTTTTCTTATAACTAGTAACTGTGCACAAGCTTTGCACATGGTAGTTATAGATGATAATGATAATGATAGTAATAAAATATCCAAAATTTTCTATAAATTGTATGCATTTTTTATTTTTTTGTTTTTATTATTAATCAGATGTAAATTGTAAAATCCAAATATGGTTACATAAACACCTCATCTAAATATGTGATAATCATATGGAGTTGTGAAGTTTCAAATATAATGCGATAGGCCTACTTACTTGGCTAGGCTCTTCTTTTTGCAATTTTTCATCTTTTATGTTTATCTTTTTATTTTGTTCATTCATAAAAAGAATGTAAGATTTTGTTGGAATCAATTAGCCTCTTCTCTGAGACATTTTATTTATGTTTTTTCTATTCCTTAGTGCCGTAGGTGCGCTCTTGTAATTTCCTTTTCTTTTTATTATTAGTTAGGTCATCCTAATATATAAGTTAATAGTTGGCGCCACCAGCTACATGTTTGAATCCAAATTTCTTCTCTTTTCTCTATTCTCTCTTCCTCTTCTTCCATCACCCTAATATAAAGTTTCCTTTTTTTGGGCTCTCCTTGATGTGGATCGAATTTGATCAAGAAGCAGATCGGATTGATCTAAAGGAGGTTTTGCTAGTCTTCTTCTCTTCTTCCTTGGCCGTGTGCCAAGAAATCCATCAAAGGAAGGGAAATCTGATGTTGCGAGGATAAATCTATCTTCTAGGGATCAAGTGATCCTCTCTTGTGCCTAGGTAAGTGGGTTTTTGGAGGTCTAGATGACCTGAAACTACTAGGTTTCATTGAAATTTGAATTGTGTGTTCCTGAAGTGCTGTGAGTTTTTGTTCTCAATCTTGTGGATCATGTGATCCATTTTTGTGCCCAAATAGCTGGGTGATATAGGTAAAAAATGACATGTAACTATAAAATAGTGGTCGACTATAATTCTTGGAAAATTTTCCAGCAGATGTGTGGGATCCAAAAAAAAATTATACCTGACTAAGACTTAACTAAATTGAATAGTGTCTAACTGAATTGGGGATTGAACTATAACTGAACTATATGAATTGAAATTGAATAGTGACTGAACAATGGCCGAACTTGGTATGGGGTCTGAACTGGATGAATTGGAATTGAACAGTGGTTGAACTTGGCTGAACTATGATTGTGGTTGAACTGAAGTGTTAATAAATTGTGGTTGAATTGTTTTTTTTAAACAAAACCATTCTTTAACATGTCATCTAAGGATTCTATCCTGTCTAGTGGGTCCTCCAATCAAAGTGGAATGAGTGGGGGTTTTGACATGAGTTTTCCCATGGTCGTGATACATTTTGATGGTCTTAACTACCTAGAATGGTCAAGGGGAATCAAATTATACATAACAGCCAAGGGGAAGGTAGGCTATATTAATAGTAAAACCAAAGTCTCAGGGGGGTGGAGCATGATAGGTGGGATAAGGAAAACAGTATTGTGGTGTCATGGTTGTTACTTTCCATGTTGCCTCCAGTTAGGAAAACCTTCATGTAGGCTGAAACAACTGTTGAGATTTGGGAGCAGGCAAAATCTACTTATTTAGAGCAACACCATTATGCCAAAATATACCAGTTGCAAGCTGCCTCCTCTACTTGTAAGCAGGGGGAGAGGACCCTCTCAACTTATTATTTAGATTTGACTTCAATTTGGAAAGAACTAGATCACTATCAGAACATTGACTAGAAGTGTGATGTTGATGCTAAGGCCTACAAGTCTCTGGTTTCCCAACAATGGGTTTTTGCCTTCCTCTTGGGGTTGAACCCTGTATGTAAGTCCCTCAAAATTCAGATATTATGAAGTAAAGATCTTCCTTCGATACAAGAAGTGTATGCTCTAGTTCAATACAAAGAAAGCGGGCGAAGTGTGATGAATAGCTCAGAGGGGGAGCAAATTGCCTTAGTGGCTAAAGGGAGTACGGGTGTAAGAGGCAATAATTCCTTTAAGGTGAATTCCATAAAAGAGTGGATGATAAAGATAAACTATGGTGTACTCACTATCAAAAGGCCAGGCATACTCGAGATACTTGTTGGGACCTCCATGGAAAGCCAAAGTGGGCCCAGGAGTTAAGTAAGAAATCAAATCAAAATAAGAAGTTGAGACAGCAGAGCCAAAAAAAATTTAATACAGCAAGCTTGGCCTCTCAGGAGTCTAAGTCATCTACTGCTATTCACTAGGATCGCCCATTTGTTATCGATCCCCGGGAAGATATCATTAATTCTTTCCGTGACCACTTGGATCTATATGGGAGAGCAATCCGCCAAATGGGTTATGCTTCTCCTGCCTCGACTTCTTTTACATCTACTTCAGGTAATGATAATCCTACCACAACCTTCCATGTGTCTTCCCATTCATTTGATTCCCCTTGGATAATTGACTCTAGAGCCTCAAACCATATGATGGGTAAATCAAATTATTTCCAATCCTATCAATTTTTATCTGGTAGGGACAATGTGAGATTAACTGATGGTTCTTTTTCCACCATAATTGGTCAATGAACCATAATCCTTTCTTTTGGACTTACCCTTTATAATGTATTACATGTTTTGAAATTACCTATAAATTTGTTTTTTTGTTAGTAGCATTACAAACTCTTTAAACTTTTCAATGACATTTTACCCTTCTTCTTGTGTTCTATAGGATTTGAACTCGGGGAAGATGATTGGTATAGGTCGTATGGTGGATGGTCTCTACATGTTGGAGAACAAAGCTAGTCTTGCGGTCATTGAATTGAGTCTACGAGTTAGTCTAGTATGAGTCAAGTTTACTTATGGCATAGTCATTTGAGTCATTAAAGGTCTTACTTCTAGATTTATTTAAATCAGTATCAATGTTTGAGTTCAAATGTCAAACTTGTCAGTTGAGAAAACATTGTAGAAATCATTTTTTCTTCAAGAAATAATAAATCCGATTTTCTTTTTCATATTGTTTATTCTAATGTTTGTGGCCCTATTAGTTTACCATCTGAGCTTGGCTATAAATATTTCATTGCTTTTATAAGTTTATTGATGACTATTCCAAATATACATGGGTGTACCCCATGCGGTCCAGAGGTGAAGTACCAAAGATTATGAAAGATCTCCAACACATGATATTCATTT